ATTTAATTTTATCAACTATCTAACTAAAGTACTTTATGCATGTAATATTGATATTAAAAATAAAATTTACTTTTATAATTTTTTATATAAATTAATAATAAAAACATTTAATAAATACATTTTAAAGAAAAAATTTTAATATAAATTATTAATTTAGCACCAACTCAGCACTAATGTAGGATAAAAAATGTCACCTTATTATTATATAAGCAATGGACCCCACCAAAAGCACCTTTCCATTACAAATTGATGAGTGTCCAATGTAAGCCGTGCAAAGGGTTGATTTGCAACCATGTAGTGAGTTGAGGGGTTAATTTGTGTCTGTTTTTAGTTGAGGAGTTGATTTGCCACCATTCACTGAATATAGGGGTTGATTTGCCTTTTTCCCCTTTTTTTTTAGATTTAAACTGTGCTGGTTCAATTTCAGTGTATCCATAAGTACAGTAAATTTCAGTCAGTATATCAAAATTTGATTAAAATGAAATTTAAACCTATACTGTTTCAGTCAACTTAAAAAGCTGATACATACCTACTGTACAGACCAATACGAAATAGTACAGGCAACTATGGGTCACACACAAAAATTTGATATGGCCTTGACCTTCATTTCTCAAAGCCTTAGAATATTGAATTGCTATGTTTACATCTTTTTTGTAAGTTTTGATTTGGTTTTCCAGTTGTTAGTTGAAACTCTTAATTGAAATTGCTTTTATATCATGCAGTTCTGGAGCATCAGATAATATGTAGTTTTCACTAAGTTTATATGTTATAATGATCGATGGTTAAATAAGGTTTCTGTTTTGACACTATTTCCCTTTCCTTTTCTTCTTTTTTTCAGGTCTTATTGTTTATGTTATAATGATGGATGGTTAAATAAGAGGCTGGGCATGTGTTTTCTAAAGTTTCTTACTTTTTTTATTCACCAACAAGCAGAAAACATTTTTTTTTAAGTTAAATTCATTATTGAAGATATGGATTTTATTAAGCTCTTAGCATTGTGGTCGAAGAATAATAAATTTGGTTCCAGTTCCTTTTTAATAACAGAACTAATACATGATCAAACTTGAAAGGCAAATGATTATGATTTATGAATGCTATCTACATTCTTTTGTCTTTTCTTAGTTTTTGATTCCATTACCAGGTGATCGTAGCCATTTCACTAAGTTATTATACTGTGATTTAGTTTTGATGAGTTGGATCAAACTTGCAAGTAAACAGACTTTCCTTTGTGTTTTCCCCCTTTTTTCATACCTTTGTCTATCAATTGATAAAGACCATTTTTTAGGTTTATGTCTGGAAGTGTGGTTTTTCCTTTCCTTTTTTTTTTTTTAAATATCAGTTTCATTTCTTTTTTCTTTTTTTTTTTCTTTTTATCAGTTGTTGATGAAGGTTTTATCAGTTGAAAACATATCCAATAATCCTTCGGTGATGATGATGACATAACTTGTTTTATTATTTATGGGCCGATTGTGAACCCCATCTATATCCGTAACTTTAGTGAAAATGCTTTATTAATAAAAAAATGTAACATTATATAAAATTTTGATCCATTCAGACTGAGATTAGGTACCTTAATCGGCTATGGCACCCTAGGGAGACAGAAAAGGTAGAATATTTCACATTAGGTGATCTTTGGAGTTGTTATGATGAATGGAGTGCATACG